CATCCTCCACAACTAGACTGAAGAACAAAACGACAGCAACTTGTCTGTTCCCCTTCCCCCAATTCCCCAACACTGTTCCCATCCCCCAATTCCCCCAATAAAATCTTTAAAAAAAAAGCAGAGGTGCGTTGGCTGTAAGGGAAAAAAAACACTCCTGTTTTCTTGCCTTGAGTGATTTGCTGGCACATGGTGGTGCCTTTTACAAACAGGGACGGCAGGAGGGGGACAGTATGGAAAGGCAAAGCAAGGGTTCTGGCTGGGGAGAGGGATACAATAACCAAGTCACAAATCCTGGCCAAGAGATCGAACATTATATGACTCAGTTATGATATAAGTGTCCTACTAAGTCAGAAAATAGATATCATACACATAGGCAAACATGACTCTGAAGCAAGCAATAACACAAAAGTAGGCGCTGAGGAAGAGGAAGCTAATTCAAGGAAGAGAAAGCTAATTTAACTCCCAAGAACAGAGTGTTTCTATTATCTTTTTAGATCAATTTAGAAGGAATGTCATAGTGAAATCTCTTTGTAAGCACTATGATTACAGAACTCCTTCTATTTTCTTCTACTTAGTATGCATAAAGTAGGGGAAAAAATGAGTGTTTCTGGTAGATCACAATGTTTGAACCAGCCTTGTGCTCTTTTTACTTCACTGTAAAGTTATTTTATTCTTTGCAAGTTGGTTCTATTTCAGGTACATGTATTCTAGAGATGCTCTGAGAACCAATCATTTCACTGTTCTTCATTTCAAAAGACAGGAGGACAACACATTTGCTCCTGGGAATGCAGCGATCAGGCGACACTCACGCACACACACTCCAGGTGCTTCATTCTGCTACAGTGTTATAAAACCATAGGACACTTGACATGATGGGACATGTCAAAGCTTGCCAGGCCTCAAGAACACCACAGCCTCTGCTGCTTTGCCTTGTGTTTTTCTATTTGTATCCCCCCAAGAGACCTGTCTGGAGGAAGCTGGCGGCCACCCTGATGGCCTTGGCGAACGTAATTAGTGCAGAATCAGCACCACTGCCTTTTCTCTTCCGTTTCTCTTCCCTTGGGAATTCAAACTAGACTTTTAGGAAAACACAGAAACAAAGCTTCAGAGTTCACTGATTGGAAATAAAGGTTTGAATATTTTTGTTTCAATCATATCAGATACATTCTAGGGTTAATCCCCAAAACACAGCCCCTCAAAACAGGAAACTTTTAGATATTGCTACATCATTAGCTTTCTTTCCCAATTAAAGGCTGTATTCAAATACGGAAACTATAAAATGAAGACACAACTTGTCAGCATGTCTGCGCTGCAGGGCTAGTGAGCGGAGTAGAAGCCACAGGGCCTACGCAACCCCATCCTACGTCTACACGGCAGTTGTGAAAGGTCCCCTTTTCACCACCCTATCTATCATAGCAGGTGCTGTTACTGCCACAATACAATGGGTGGAAGAAACCAAGAAAACAAGAAACCATGAGGGGAAAAGAAGGCCGAGCTTGTTTAACACACAGCTGAGATACCCACAGTCCTTTGCAGGCTACTGCTTACCCCTGCCACAGACCAAGAGAAACTAAAATCTCAGATAACCAGCAGGACAGCACACTTTCTTCTTAAGGCTAACAGAAAATATTTGCTTCGTTTATTATACACGAAACCTAAAAATTAATTTTACTTTCTAATGAGCCTAATTTCACACAAGAAAAATACAACATGTTCTATACCAGAGTTCATGTCAAGGCTTCCAAACAAATCTGATGAAGCACAAATGCCAACGGCAGACAGATCTTCTAAGGGTAATGCAGTACAGGCAGAAAACGTCGCTGACGAAAAGTAGGTTTCCTCACCTTCTAACTTTTCTATTTGAATTCAAATATTTCCTTGTTGAATAAACAATGACTACAAAGGCATCAGGAGAGAGAGGAAAAGGCCATGTGAGTATACACACACCGAAAACCACTTTCCTTGTGTCCACTCACTGTGTTATCCGGCCACATTTAAAAAACAACTGTGATAGTTCTAGGATTTTATTTTGTCCTAATTAGACTGATACCTAAATTAAGGAGTAATTTCATAGTCACCATATTTTTAAAAACCTGGAACCTCATTTGCTGCTGTGCATACTGAATAATGACTAAAAAATAGTACTTGCCCCATAAAATGCCTATAGTATGTGTGAAGTTCGGGAGAAAAGTTACACTTCCTGCTACAATAGGACTCCTGTTATATATGCTTAGAATCAAAATAAGAGAACCCAGTCTTTGAATTCAAATAGCATCAGATCAAAAGACAAAAGGGAATGCTTTTTAGAGATAATATGAGAAGCATAGAAGGCAGGAGTCGAAAACTTTAGCAACTAAAATAATGCAGTGTTTTCAGTACCGCTTGTAACTACCAGATCTCTCAAAAGCAGAATCAAAGATGGTATACCATAAAAAGTACCAACTAACTATGACAAAAATCAGACATCATTATGATAAAATGGTTTGCAAGTTCTAATCTATAGGCTAAGAATAATCAAACATGCTTAACTATATGGCTTTAATTTCTAGAAATATGCTATTAACTCCAGCTAGATCTTACATGAATTTAGTGGAAAAAAACAGAAGAAATAGGGATTATGCCTTTAAAAGTAGAGTGACCATATCATTTATCCAAACCAGTTCTGGGACTGTAAAGGGGACGTATTAAGGTCAGATCAACAGGTATAAATCGGGACCGTGCCAAGCAAAACAAGATAAAAAATCACTCTATTTTAAGGTGAGGAACATTTACAGATTCTTGTCTAGAGTTAAAACAACGTTTGAGGGCCGGCCGAGTGGCTCAGTTGGTTAAGAGCGCGCTCAAGAGTGCGAGCTCTGAGCAACAGCGGTTCGATGCCCAGCCCGAGCTGAGCTGCCAATAGGTGGCAGGATGGCTCAGCCAAAAAAAAAAAAAAAACAAGACAAAAAACAACAACAACAAAAATGATGTTTGTCATTTCCAGGACTTACTGACATTAGCTTGCTTTCCATCTCCTGCATGTTTAGAAGAAAATATGGAATTCATATGGTAAGGGCCAAACAAAAGGGCCATTAAGTAGGTTTAACAACACAGCCCTGGCCCTGCAGCGAGAGGGGGAGCTCTGAGAATTTCATTCCCTAGTGTGATTGTTTGGACTTTCCTCCAAGATCTTCGAGTTCCTTCATGACTGACAGAAAAATGAAGCTTGAGTCAGAATGTAGTTGGAAAAAAAGGATAAGAGAAAAACAACATCACCTACACAAGTATTAATCCTACAACCTGGCCAAATTATCAAACAACTACAGATCATCTTATTGCTTCTAAAAAAAAGTTTTATCTTCAATTTTTACCTACTGGAGCTTCAAGAACTGCTTATAACAAAGTCATATATCCAAGTTCTGAAAACCGCCTTTTCATGCCATTTCTATAAGCTTTGTGGATAAAAAAAAAAAGAGGGGGATGGGGGGAAGTTCTATGGAAAGTCACCCCCACCCCCTGGGGTGATCTGACCATAAATTCCTAACAGGACAGGTCATGGTGGATAGTCTTCCTTGGTGAGAGGTTTTAAGCCAGCCCTGTCCATTATCCCTGTCCATCTAGGTTAACACACCAGGAGTACCAGAAGGAATAGCTCTGAAGGGGGTATGAGCCCTCAGGAGAGCACATAATCTTGTTAACTATCCTGTAATCCAATCCCCATCTCAATTTCTCTGATCTTCCTTACCTTAATCTCAAATGCATAAAAACCGCTGCAAAACTGTAATGCTGCAAAACTGTAATTCTCGGGAGCATTTGAGATCTTCCCTGGCATTTGACATCAGTTTAGCTCAAATAAACTCTTATAAAAATTCTCTTCAGGTTGGGACGTTGTTACATAAACACTATCCTTCAGAGTGCTGCACTACTGCATCATCTAAGTCTTTGTATTCACTGTAATTGTTCCCACTGACATCCCAATAATAATATAACAGTAAAAGCTAGAGCATTTACACTAGATGCCAAACTGTGCTACACATATTGTTTGTACGCATGCATGCTGGGGTTAGCTTAAGGGGTACGGAGCAAGACAGCCTGGGTTCCAGTTCCGGCTTCACCACTAGCTAGCTGCCAATGTCTGTGGGGAGGTTGCCTAACCTATCTGTGCTGCTGTGTTGTTTGCTATCTTTAAAGTAAGGATGATAACACTAACTCAGGGGCTATTATAAGTCTTAAGTAAGTTGACACAGGTCAAGCTCTTATAACAGCCTGGCTCAAAGAAATGCTAATATCAGCAATGATCATTATCTCCATATTACAGATACAGTGAGGCCAAGTTGGACTGTGAAATAACTTTTCCAAAGTCACACAGCTAGTAGTGAAAAAGGTAAGATTCAAATCCATAGTCTGGATCTGAAGTCCAGGCTCTTACCGCCCATTTCAAATCAACAAGGGCAGGCTCTTCTCCATTAGCGGCAAGGAATTCTTAAAAACCACACAAATGCCACAACCAAAGGACCAAGACAGTAAGTGCCCAGTGGAAGCAACAGTAAAATCAGAAGACAGCAGGTCCCACCCCAAAACCCAGAGCAGCCTCAAGCACAGACGGGTGCTTCTGGAACCACCAGGAGTTCTGGGTGTCCGACCCCAAACTGCCCTCGACATTCTACTCCAGACCCTGGAGGCCACTCAGGTTCAGCCGAGCCCCACACCACGTCCCACGCCCCACGCGCCCCACCCCCGTGGGCTTCCGTCTTGTGAGAGTTCAGGACGAGCGAGTGCTGGAGGGTGCGGCATGAGACAGAGCACCGCCCAGCCCCTTCCTCCCCCGCATCTCCAGCCCGACGTGGGCAACTTCCCACAGAAGTAGGCCTGTGCTTGTCCCTTGCCACGTTTCTAATACGTATTATGCAGAGGAAATTCAAAGGCAATGAAAGACCACCTTACCTTTTTAAAAATTTTTCCATTTGGTTGCACTTCATCTTCCTCATTTAAAACTTCGCGTGTTCCCAAGAGTCTTTTGTCCTTAAATTTGTTTTTCGCATACATAAAAACTTTATCTAGTGTATCACATCCAGGGTATAATACAGAGGCCAAGCCGTCCAAACAGTTAACAGACCTGTATGCAGACTCAGGTTCTGAACGAACAGGCTTTGCTTTAATTTGGTTTGATTTTTCTTGTCTTGACTCAGACAAAAAATAATATGGAATGTATGTTAAAATAGTATAAAGTGATATTATAAAATGTAGGAAATATAAAAGAATGGGGTTGATGGTCTGTTTTAGCTTCATGGTCGATGGTTTTGAAGATACGTGGTTATTCATAAGTGCTCGAAAAGTAGAATTAACAGATCTCCGTAAGAATCTACGAGGAAGAAAAAGAAAGATATTAAGTCAAAATCACTTTTAATAACAAATAATTTTTGAAGAAAAATTCTTCACATTAGATAAGCAAATGAAGATTTTTTTTTTCCCATCAAGCAGCAGCTAGTAACTGGCCCCAGCAGTGTCCTATTCACCTGATACTTGTATGAGACTCACTTGTACCCTATCTATTAACAACGGGATTACCACAAGAAGTTTCCACATCATCTCTGTAAACAGTATCCCCAAACACTTCCTGGTGGCAAGGTGGGAGGGAGAAGAAGACCTACAAAAGAATGGAGACCAAATACACCCGTTTCCTGTTGTTGGCGGCTCATTAAATTAAGAATGGCAAGAACTCTGCACATGCCCCACTCTCCTCTGGGGCCCACAAAGCCACTGTTGATCGCAGCATTCCTTCCCCATGAGCCCAACATTCTCACTCAGGGCAGCAACAAGCAATTGGAGTTGGCAAACAACATACAACTCACTTCCCGTAAGTGATTCTAGATATTTTTCAATATTGGCAGGTTAACCTGTGAAGCAAGAAGACAGTCAAGGGCCGGCCGAGTGGCGTGTTGGTTAAGAGCTGGCTTGGGACGCCAGAGGGCCCCGGTTCGGATCCCACACATGAGGGCCCGTGACACTGCCCTCTACAGCTAAGATGCTGAACAACAGCTCAACCTGGAGCTGGGCTGCCAGGAGTCACCGGCGACGGCGTAGGCTGCAGCCCCTGCTGCAGTGGGTTGCCATGGGCTACCGTGTGTCGCCAGCAGCCGCAGTGAGCGGCCGTCCAGAAGCCGGCGACTGATGTGCCTCGCCCAGGAAGAGCACAATGATGGTGCCAACTTGAGCCAGTGAAGCAACGTCCTCCACAACTAGGCTGAAGAACAAAAGGACAGCAACTTGTCTGTTCACCTTCCCAGATTCCCCAACGTTGTTCCCCTTCCCCCAATTCCCCAATTAAAAAAAAAAAAAAAAAAGAAGGCAGTCAACTTCGGTCGTTTTATACTTTGCACTCATCAAATTTACTGAGAATCTATTATGTTTCAGGTACTAGTCTAAGTACAGGGAATATAACTGAACAGAGGCCTACGTCCCTTTCTCATGAAACCTGCACACTCGAGGCAGGCAAGCACACTGTGTGTCTGCACACAGGAGGGCGTGCCGTCTGCAGAGCAGCATCAGAGGGTGCAGAAAAGATCAAGTTCACTGAACAAGGGAACAGGAGCAATACATCACAAGAGGCCGTGGGAAAAGGGAGGGGAATCAGAATTCAGAATTGCTAAAAATGTCAAAAATGTCCAGTTTAAGACAAAAGGGTATAAGGCATGCAAATAAACAGGAAAAGTATGACCCACACACACATCCGGGGAAAGCAGGAAACAGAAATCGTCCTTCAGAGGGCCCAAATGTCAGACTTAGCAGAACAGACATCAGAGCGGCTATTATAAATAGGTTCAAAGAACTAAAAGAAAGCATGCTTAAGAAATTAAAAGTACAATTCTGCAATTTTACCAGACAAGGAACACCTCCAAATATGCCCATGCACAGCTGGTGAGAAGCCAAGACTCCAAGCTGCTCCCCGGGCTCTGTTCATTCCGTTCTTTTCTGTAACGATGTATTGTGGTAGTGTTCTGGGGGACGAGTCTAGAAGACTCCGGGTTTCTGCCATAGAGGGTATGGGGGGGCCACTGAAGGTTTCGGTAGCGGAACGTGACACAACGAAAGCTAACAGGGCATCTGAGCTGCAAAGAACAGATGCACCTTAATAACCCAGGCGAACAATGTTATATCACTAAGTACTCTCACTGAAATTTAATTTTGCATGTTTGTGTTTTGAATTAAAAAGTAATGTTGTGATTTAAAAAACTATCTTTACCCACAGATATAATTGTACATATCCTAAGTAATCCACTAAAAAAAACTAATAGAATAAAAGTTCAACAAAGGTTGCAGAATGTAAGACGAATATACAAAAGTCAATGAATAATCAGAAAATGAAGTTAAGAATTATATTTATAACACTATAAGAAAACTTAAGATTAGCTATGAAAGTGCAAAACTTATACTACAAAAACCACAAAACACTGTTTAAAGATACTAAAGACCTAAATGAGTAGAAAAACATCCCATTTATAGATTGTAAGGATAAATACTGTTAAAAAGGTGACATTCCCCAAATTGATGTACAGATTCAACACAATCCTTATCAAAACCTCTGCTGGGTTTATACAGAAATATATAAGCTGATTCTAAAATTCACATGGAAATTCAAAGTTGTCAGCAGAACAGCCAACATTTAATCTTCCAGATGATACAGTCACAGTCACAAACACAACATGAGACCGTGAACAAATAAGACGAAATATCATGAGGTAACAGAAGCTCACAGAGCAGGCTAACAGGGAATGAATGTCGGGGAAGCAGAGAGGTGCTGCTTTGTAAGTGGTTAAGCTAAGGCAGCAGACAATGAGAGGGAGCCACATGGACACCTGGGAGAAGAGCCTTCTAGCTGAACCCACAGAGGAAGGGGGACCGTGCAAGGAGGAGAAGTCAGACAGGATACAGTGAGAGTGGGGACGGAGCCTGAAGGGCCTGGCACACCGTGAGAACTGTGCTGCCATGGGTGAAATCACCTGACTGCCAAAAAGGAGGACCGGCTGCTGAGGAAGCAAGGAGGCCAGTTGGGAGCCTTTGCTGGGATTGGATGTGAGATGACAGTGGCTTAGACCAGGATGAGGATGAAGGAAATAATGAGGAATGAACCAACTCTGTTTTAAAGGCCTCACGTACAGTGAGAAAAAAAGGGAAGTCAAGAGCAACTCTAAGGGGGGAAGGGGGCTGTCACTTTGTGAGGGGTGAAAAGGATAACTAGCGCATTGTTTTGTACACCTGAAACTAATAAAAAATTAAAAACTGAAAGTGACTAAGGTTTTTGGCTTGAGACACTGAAAAACAAAGTTGAGCTATCATTCCCTAGGAACAGGAAGACGGCAGGAGGAACAGGTCTGGGGAAAGAATACGCAGTTTTGTGAAAGGTTCCTTCGGAGCCCTCAGCATATTGATGGCATCTAGAGCCCTGAGACTAGATGCGACAGCCTAGGGATGAGAAGAGGGACCAAGAGAGATGCTGGGGCATGTCGACATTTAGAGGGCTCGGGGCGAGAGGAACAGCAGAGAGGGGAGAGGGGCCCGCAAAGGAGCATGAGAGGAGGGGTCAGTACTGACAGGAAAACCAGGGAGGTGGAGTCTCAGGAGGAGGACCGCTGACCAGCTTTACTCGTTATCTACAAGTTGACAAAGATAAAAACTGAAATGGAAATGGAAGCCCTAATGAGATGAGACTTCGCACCCATTAGGATGGCTACTATTAAAAAGAAGAAAAAGGACGATTACAAGTACTGACGAGGATGTGGAGGTGAAGAAACTGGAACCTGCATGCAATGCGGATGGGAATGGAAAATGGTGCAGCTGCTATGGAAAGCAGGATGGTGGTTCCTCAAAAAATTACACATAGATTACGATATAATTCCATTTCTGGGTATATTTCCAAAAGAAATGAAAGCAGGGACTCAAATAGGTATTTGTATGCCGAAGTTCATAGCAGCATTATTCCTAACGGCCAGAAGGTGGAAACAACCCAAACGGCCACTGACAGGTGACTGGATAAACAAAATGTGGTCGCGCCAGACAACGGTGTGTTATTCAACCCTACGAAGGAATGAATTCTGATACATGCTATAACATGTACGAACCTTGAAAATGTACTACACTAAGTGAAATAAGGCAGACACAAAAGGACAAGTATTGTATGGTTCCACTTATGTAAGATACCTTAAATAGGCAAATTCACAAAGACGGACAGTACAATCAGTGGTGGCTGCTGGGACTGACGAGGAGGAGGAAACGGAAAATTGTGTTTAATGGGTATGGCGTTGGAATGATGGGAAAGTTCTGGAGATGGATGATGGTGATGGTTGCACAACAGTGTAACTGTATGGAATGCCAATGAACTGTACAATTAAAGATGGCTACAACGGTAAACTGTGTTGTGTATATTTTACTACAATAAAAATAAGTCAAAAAAAGGATGAAGACTGAGAATTAGACACTGGATTTGACAATGTGATGGTCACTACTGACCTTGAGAAGACCTGTAGTAAGGATCAAAGCCCAACTGGAGAGAGTTCCAGAAAGACTAGGATGAGAGGCTACAGAGAAACAGAGCAACGGGTAACAGGACAGGACAAAGCAGATTCTTTGGATAAGAGATAATGTAGCCTGTCTGCATACTCCTGTCTATAACCGTAGAGGAAAGACAAGGGTTATGCAGATCAGAGTCGCAGCATGGGGTTAGGAGAGGGAGGGAGGCACAACCACGTGGGGGAGGGGAGAGACCAGGGACTATCTCCAAGGGAGTGGCTATAACAACTCATCAGGAAATGCTAAGTTGAAGGAGGCCAAGAGGAGGGGAAGGGTTTGTGAAAAGGAGACGAGATCAATAAAAGCAGGTCCTGGGTTGGGTTACAGAATTGTTGGGCTTCACGCACTAAAAGGGAGCGAACTGGGACGGCAGGAGGTGATGGTCTGAGCAGAAGGCTGGGAACTGAGACTGCGAGGCTGTACAGTACTGTTCGTGGGGAGGGCTACGTGGTAATAATGGAGGAAGGCGGCAAAGGCGGCTAGAGCACGAGGTCATTTAAGGACAGCTTGTTAAGGAGCTGAAAGGCCACAGAACTGCAAAGAGTGAAACCACCAAGTATCATGACAGGATCATAGTAGAGTCTCAGGAAGCCTGATGTTCAAACAAGAAGGAAGAGGAAGCAGTCCAGTCTGAAGGCAAAGCTTGAAGGACATGGCAATACTGTTTCAGTGGCAAAAATTTCTGTTCAAGTAACCAGATTAGGCCCAAGAGAGAGTTGCTCATGATAAACCCACATCAGCAAATCAAAACAACTCAGTTTCTATGCTCGGCTATTCCAGAAAAGGAAGGCTTAA